AAAAAGAAAAACACCCAAAAAACCAAAACACTCTAAGCCTCAGTTTTCCTAACTGTACCTTTCCTTCGGGGTTGGTATATTACAAGAGTTCATCCCTGTCAGGTTCCTAGCCATGCACCCAGTCCATAGTAAGAATTCAATGATTATCTGTGGTGCGCCTGGGTGGCTCAGTCAGCTGAGCATCTTCCTTTGGCTCAGGTCATGATCCCAGGGTCCTGGGATCGAGTTCCGCATCAGGCTCCTTCCTCAGCGGGAAGCCTGCTTCTCCCTCTCCCTCTGCTGCTCCCCCTGCTTGCGCGCTCTCTCTCTCTCTCTCTCTCTCTCTCTCTCTCTCTCTCTCTGTCAAATAAATAAATAAAATCTTTAAATAAAATAAAATAAATCAATGATTATCTGCTGTTGTAACTCTTATCCTCCTAGCCACCCTGTTGCCTATTCCCTCTGGATAGGGAAAGCTCCCTCTTCTGACTCAGTGTTATTATCTCTGACCCACTGACCCCCAACCATGCACACGTGGTTATCTAACGGGCAAGATGTCTCCTTTCCTCCCTAGCGCCCTGGTGTAAAAGGGTGGCCCAAGTTTCCTACTCTGACCTGTCAGGGACCTGGTGTCGCCTACTGTGTTTTGGGTTTACCCCCAGCAGGCAAGGCTCAACCTCCATGCAAGCACACAAACCCAGGTACAAAGACCTTGCTAACTCTTAGTTTTCTCATTCATAAAGGGGCATAATAATTGTGCCTACCTCCTAGGCGATCGTGGATGTTACGTGGATAGCAAGTAGATGGCAAAGAGTGTTGTACTCACTCTTTGTCAGGCTTTTGTACCTGGGTTTCTGCGCTTTGCGTGGGGGTTGCAAGAAGCTTTCCCACCTGGGAGTAAACCAAAAACACAGTACCCAACACCAGGCTCCTGACAGATCCAAACAGGGAACTCGGGCCACCTGACCACCTTGTTTGGGAGTAGGATCGGCAACCCTTTTACAACAAGGGGCCTGAAGCAGAAAGGAGACAAAGTGCCCACTAGATGAACACACAGGCTCAGTTGGGGGGGAGGGGAGAGATGGGGGTTGGTGATACCCACTGGGGCAGGGAAGGGGGCTTTCCTTGCCTAGAGACAGAGGAGAATAAGCAGAGAGCTGACAGCTCATTGACATCTGAGTGGAGTGGGCCTATGGGTAAAGGCATCCTGCGGCAGATAATGCGATCTGAACACGGGCACATCTGCCTGCAAAGCCCATACTCTTAATCATTACAATATTAATGCCTGGCACAGAGTAGGTGCTCAACGAGTATTTGTGTAATGAAGGAATTTATACTGCTGCCTCCTTCTGGAAAGTGTTCTCCCTCCATCTTTCCCTGAGCCCATCCTTCAAAGCCCAGCTCAGATGCAGCCTCCCACTAAACTGATGTGTCCTCTCTCCGTTGCTCTTGGGTGGGGGAAACCAGAGGCATTAGTGCTGGGGTAAGGAAGTGTGGGGCGCGAGGATGGGCCAGCTGTCGTGGAGCTGGAGGAAAGACTCTTGAGTTTTGCACAGAGACTTCTCTCCTGAGTCTGTGTACTGGATCTGAAGTTGCTACAAGGACCGGATACACCGATGACAAAGCAACTCACACTGGGCTCTGGTTACTCATAACAGTGAATTCCAATCACTTAGCAACCATGTGTGGGGAGGAGAATTGGAAGCCATTGCAGGGCAGGGGCCTGGGAGGAAAGGGAGACAAAATGTCTGCCACTGACCAATAGTGCGTGTGCACTGAGGAGGAGGAGGGGAGGGAAAGTGAGAGGAGCTCATTCTGACTTAAGAATTACTGCTCCAAGGGTTTTAGGGTCTTTAAGCACCTGAGGATTTAGGGATTTGTAATTCTATGCTATATAATACCCTAAAACCAAGGATATTGGGATTCCAAGGATTTCAAATACCTATAACCTATGGTACAAGGACTCAAGCAATTTTTGAGCTGTGAAATGCGGGGAGCTTAGGACCCAAAACAAGGATTTTAAACGGAACACTGGACATGTTAAAATACTAATCCCCCTTCGACTTCAAATCAATCTTGTTTTAACCCTTGCGACAGCGGTTTCCAAAGGGTCTTCCCAACAATCTAGGGATCCCTGTGGGTGCCTCACAGAGGAATGGAGAGAGTTAGTTTACAAGGGAGAGGACAGCAGGATGGGAATTCTGCATCAGCCATTGTGCCTTCCACCAGGGCAACTCCATCTTCACTTGGTTTGTATATTGGGCTGCTGTACTCAATTCCAAAGAGGGGTGTTCCTGGGGCGCCTGGGTGGCTCAGTCAGTGAAGCGTCTGCCTTCAGCTCAGGTCCTGATCCCAGGGTCCCTGGATCGAGCCCCGCATTGGGCTCCCTGCTCAGCGGAGAGTCTGCTCCTCCCTCTGCCCTGCACTCTGCTCCTGCTTTCTCTCTCTCTCTCTCTAAGAAATAAAATCTTAAAAAAAAAAAAGAAGGGTGTTCCTGCTAAAGCACAAAAAAGAAGTTTTGAAGCCTCTGTCCTAGGAAAAAGGGACCAGAAACCTGCAGAGAGTGGCCCAGGAAGCCACATTTGACCTCTGTTGTTTGTTTGTTTGTTTGTTTGTTTTTTACCAAACACCACAAAGATTCCTCAACTGCTAAACGAAATGGTGCCAGGGAGATCAGGTGGATCAGGATAAATCAGTCATTAGTTGAGTAAACCAGTCATTAGCTGACTCTACTGATAAGCTCTGCTTATCCGTCTGCTATAAAATTAATAATAACCACCACTAAAACTATAATTGTGATGAGTACTAGTGTTTATCGAGCACTTTTACTATGTGCCAGGGGCTGTGCTAAGTACTTTAGATGTATTATCTCATGGGATCCTCACAACAGCCCTGAGAAGAAGTATTAGTTTCCCCATATGACAGATGAGGAGACTGGGGCTCTGAGTGGGTAAGTAACTTGCCCAAGGTCATACAGCCAGAGCACGGTAGAGCCCGCCTTACTTACAAACAGAAACAGAATGGACTCCAGAAATCCCAGTAGCCAAAGTTCAGCTGTCTGGTGGCCTCGATTAAGGAATGAGGTTAAGTTTTGACCAATAGATGGCACCAGCGTGTGTGAGTTTGGTGGTCTGCTCAGGTCCGTCCAAATTCAGGCACTTCGCAGCGAGGGCTCAGAACTAAAGCAGCCCCATCTCAAGTTGAAGGAGGAGAGAAATGGCTAGCATTTTGGTCCTGAATCAGATGACATTAGCCGGTCCTGTTTGTAGCTAAGCAAAGATACGGGAGACCAGCAAGTGGAGGGATAGAGGCGGTTCTTTAAGAAGACCCGAGAATCTTTATCCTTCAACATTTCCTGGGCATGTCCTTTGTACCAGGCAGCGTGCTGTGTGATAAAGTCACATGGGGATATCAGACACAGCCACATAGGGACAGAGGCAGATGCTATGGTAGACGAGGTCCTGAATATATGGGGGCAACCCAACCTGGACTTGAAGGTCTGGGGAGGCTTCTCACAGGAATGGTGTCTGAGCTAGTCCTCTGGGCTGAAGGGGAACTTACCAGACTTACGAAAGGGGTAAGGCATTCCAGACAAAGGCTTAAAGCCACAAAGGTGTTAAAAAACATGACACATTCAAGGACAGGAGCCATAGGCTTCAACTGTCAAGAGAGGAGTCTGAAGAGACAGGCAAGAACCAGGTGATCGAACAGCCTAGAATATCAAATTAAGGACTTCATTGGTGAATATATGAATAGAAAAGCCATAGATTCTCAAGAGGATCTGTGACCAAAAGAAAAAAAGAAAGGTAAGTCCCAGTTGTTGGGGAAGCAATGAAGAGCCACGGCAGGGCTTTTGGCAGGAGCACGCTATGGTCTGATCTTGTGACCGGTGGGGAGGGCACATGGCAAAGGCGCCTGCGGAGGCAAGAACATTAGTTGAGGTAATTGGGACGGGATAGGCATGAGGACCTGAGCTGTGGTAGATACAAAGGGAATCAAGGAGATAAAGTTGACGGGACTTAATAACGCCCCCTCTTGAACCCCCTCCCCGCATGCATACACTCGTCTCCAGAGCTCAACTGAGGTTGTACCTCTGACTTTTCCCCCCAGCCACACTCCCAATTTTCAAGCTGCTTTTTGGGGGCCTTTTTGCTCCTTCCCTAAGCTGCCTTTGAAGTTTAATGGAGCCTGCCTGATTTCACAAGTTGACAGAGAAAGCCTGGCCCCATGCTGGGTCAGTCCCTGGCCCTGGATCCCCATGGAGTAGAATCTGTCAACTGACCTCAGGTAGGGTACTGAATTGGCCTTGAGCTGGTCTCTGACCCTCTGCCTGTGGCTTCACAACATGGCCAGAGTTCAGTTAAGAAATCAGCACAGTTCCAGGAAAAGGGCACCCATCATCTAGTTTATTTTTCTCCTGATTCATTTCATACCAACACACAGACCCCAGTGGATAGCAGGCAAAATGGAGGGAGGTCCCCAAAGCAAGCTGATTTCCTAGATGCCCCCTTCCTCTCCTGCAAGGCTCTTCAGAGAGGTGCCCCCACTTTGCCTGGATCTGATGCTGGTGTCACTGGAGGCGAAGCCAGAAGTCAGGTCTTCTGTGGGGAGACAGGACTCTGGAGCCAGCTGGAAGGCTGGGGAGTCAAAGAACCCCGAAGAGTAACTGGTCCTCTCTGCATGGGCAGCCACTGTCTTGATCTGCTTCTGGGGGAGCTTCAGAAAGCTGGTCTTCCCCCAGAGCTCCTTGGACCCTCTCACTGTCTCACGACAACACAGACAATGAGGTTCCAGAGGCCTGGGTCCACAGGCCAGCTGAATATCACCGCGGTGAGCTGGGGACTCAAGGACCCAACTTACAGTCTAGAGAGCTATGTCTGGAGATTCCTGGCTCATTGATGCTCTAGAGCCTCGCCAGTCATACTGAACCCCAGTCAGACTCTGACCGGTTCAGTTTGGGCACGTCAGGAGCGGGGAAGGAAGAGGAGCTGTGGCCGTGTGTGGGGCTGACCCCGGGACCCTCACACACTCTTCCAGCCCCCTTTCGTCTGTCTCCTCTTCTTCTCCTCTTCTTTGTCCTTTTCTTCTTCCTCTTCCTCCTCTTCGCTGTCTGAGTCCTCATATAGGTTGATGGTTGCCTGGACGGGGAAGTTCTGCAGTAAAATCTCCCCATCACTGTACAGGTAGTCAAAGGAGCGTGCTTTAGGCCAGAAGAGCCTGTGGACAGAGAAGAAATATGGCCCCTGACTTAGGTCTTTTACGTGCAGAGAGGCAAGGAAGGCCACGAAGGGAGTCAACCCCTAAATTCCTTCTCCTGCCTGCAGTAATGAGGTGAAAGGGAAAAGAAGGAAGCAAGCATTGTAACAGAACCTTCTAGATGGTTACAAAATGGCCCCAGGCGGGAAGGTCATATCTGGTGGGCCTAGAGCTGTGGGGAGCCCCTGCCCCGGTATCTGTCAACTCTGACATTGGTCCCATTCTCCCCCCTGCAGCCCCCCACTTCAGAAGTCTTCTAGCCAAGAATTCTCTAGCCCTGTGTCCTCCATGTCCCACTAAGGCTTCCTTTGCTGACCCCGCCCATAGGGGCTTATTCTTAGGGGTCACTGACAGATCCTCCAAAGAAGGCAACCTTGGTCGACTCCCTTAACCACCCTGGGCTTCAGTTTCCTGGTCTAAGAAAGAGCGATCCTGGCACTGCCTACCTCCTCCGGCTCCACAGGGCTGTTCTGAGGACTGGAAGAGCCGACGGGCCTACATCAGGTTCCAAGCTGGGCGCCACAGGCTTACCTGACGGGGTGATGGAACTCAGGGTCAGCCTTCGTGACTTCAGCCCCTGTTGGCCCACCAGTAGCCTGTCCAAAGCAAGAGCTAACATGTCGCTCAAAGTGCATGGCCACACGACTGCCTCCTCCATACCAGGGGTCACAACCCTTCATAAGACGATCTAGAAGAAACCTTAGCCATCTCTGGGGGCAGCCCCTGTCCCCCCCACCACCACAACAAGGGGCTCTATCCTGGTTCTGGTTGTAAAACAAGTGCAGAGTCCTGGGGGTTGTTTGCTTTCCTGCCCCTGTTCTAACACCTGTTTGGAGACTGGCCAGGAGACAGAGTTCTACTGAGCCGCAAAGATTCGGCGGCGGGGGAGGGAGGAGGAGAGCCCTGGGGCTGCATGCCAGGAGACCAGGATTCTAGCACCAGCTCTCCCACAGGCTAGCTGTGGGGCCTGCCCAAATCCCTCCCCTCTCCTGGGCACTCGTCTCTTCATCTTTCCCATTGCAGCAGAAACCCCAGGGCGGCCCTCCTCCCCCAGCTGTTGTGGAATCAAACGTGACCGAGGCTGTGGAGAGGCTTTCCCACGTCTGCAGCCCTGGCCCGAGGGCAGGGGTGCTCTGGAAAGGGACCTGCCTGGCCACTGTGAACGCACGTGGCTGCCTATGCACGTGACCGTGGGCCACAAGGGCTCAAACTCACCGAATCTACCGGTCTCCTCACCTGCCCCGGCAGGTCACTTGTAGAGGACAGCCAGGGCCTCCAGAGACAAGCTCCTCTAGGACAAAGAGGCAAGATCAATCTGTGGAGGAAGGAGAACGGAACTTGGCTCCAATGTGGGCTCCAGGAAGCCTGTCATGAGGCCCCTGAGCCCAGGTCAGTGCTCCTCCCCCCTGCTTCAACAATGTGATCATTGCTCTTGTCACGCTGGTTTGTAATGATCTGTTTACTCGCCGTTGAGCTTCTTGGGGGCAGACTTACGTTTGATCGTGTCTGAATCCCCAGTGCCCAGTACAACACAGTAGGCATTTCACTCATCGGTTGTTGACTGTTACATGCTTAGAGGGATAAAGGAGGGTTGGGTGGAAAATATCTGGCCCCTGGCTCTCCTACTCCAAGAAGTAGAGCTGAGAGTCCTACCATCTTCCTGCGCTGGGGAAAGGGGCCCGAACTATTCCTGGGCCCACTGCTTCCCCACTAGACTCCCAGAGATCCGGACAAAAAGCAAATGGGAATCTTAAGGCGTGGTCAGGGAAGAGACTGCCCCCCAGTCTCTTTTGGGACTTTGGTCCTCTCTTACCCCCTCTTCAGCCTGGGTCATATGGAGGCCACACTCCGTGGCAGCCTCAGTGGACTAAGCCACTTGGCCCACGAGGGCCTGGCTGGTTGGCTTTCAGCTTTGGCAATACCCCCTGTTCCCCTCCTGCCACCCAGAGGGATGAGTGAGGCGAGAAGCCAGTTGAGACACTCCAGCCTGAGATGTGGAAGGGGCAGTCTCTGGGGGCTGTGAGGCCTTGCCCTACCCCTCCACAGAGAGCGGGGGCACCCTGGCCATCTCATCCATTTCGTTGTCCTTCCAATCCCGGGACCCCACTAAGCCCGAGTTGGGGTCGCCAGAGGCCAAGTTCCACTTACCTTTCTCTGCCACCTACTCGTTGTCCAGAGGAGACAAGGGGCGATGGACTTAATAGGTCAAGGAGTGCCCGGGGGCGCTGCACAGGGGTTGGAGCTAGGGCCAGGGCTGGGACCGGGGCAGCAGCAGCGGGAACAGAAGGGTCCATCCTTAGGGGGTCGAGGCCAGGCAGGCCGTAGGGGCTCTCATTTCTCAGAACCTCCTGCATTCTTTTGGCCTTTCCTGGGAGACCCTTTTATAAGGCCTGCCTGGACTCATAAATTATTCAGGGCCGAGCAGGGCTGGGGGACCTGGGAGGAGGGACGAGGATTTAGAACAGGGAGCTCACGGAGGGGGGAGCTGGGTCTCTGGGTATGAAAGCCCTCCCAGTTGAATAAACAGAGAGTCGGTGGGGGGTGAGGGGTTTTCTTTACCTCCAAGTCAGAAAGGAAAACACAGAAGGGGCAAATCACACACCATTTGTGCAAATTCCCCAGGCAGTAGCAAGGCTAGAGGCGGGAAGCTCATTAGCACCCCAAACCACAGAAAGCTGTCAGGCACAGAGGCCTGGAGAGACAGGCCTTTGGCAAAGCCAGTTCCCAGCAAAAAGGGACAGCTGACCCGGCTAAGGCGAGTGAGGGACTCACACATTATTTCGGCTCAAAACCCGCAAGAGATGTGCCAAGTGGACCTGATAGAGGGTGACCGCCATTAAGCATGCCACCTGGGTCAGGAAAATAGCAGGTTGGGGGTGGAGCAGGTCCAGCTGCCTGTGGGGTGACCCTCAAGCCTTCCTTCCACACCCTATGCTCTCTGGGTCGGTTCCTTTGCAAAAGTGCCCAAATCTCCTCTCGGGCCTCAGCAGTAAGTGGTCTGGTAAAGGAGTGTGGGCAGCATTTCAGGGCTTGGAGGTCAGATTCCAAGTCTCAGAGCTCAGCCCCCAGTCCAGGAGCCAGGGTCCTGGCGGGGGTGTGTGTGTGTGGGGGCAGGGGGCGGGGTGAGGCAGGGTTCCTTCTGGCCGCTAAACTGCCTCAGAACCATCCCCGGCCCAGGGGCCTCTGTTCCCTCATGTGTGAGACGAGAGTGCAGGTCCAGTGGCCTCAAGGGGCCCTGCCAGCCTGAACACCCTTTGCTGGGTAAAGGGGTACTGACCCCCGGGCGGGGGGCAAGCCTAGCCGTTCCAGCACAGTCTTTGGCCTTAGCCAGTCTTCTGGGCCTTTGCCAAAAAGCTTCCAGTTACAACCGTTGGCGGCCTCCTTGTGCTTTAGAAGTCCCGGAATATTCCTCCGGAGCCCCAGCGTCCAGCAGCAGCATGGATTTAGCTTCTTGGGTATTCATCCTGGTCGGGTTTGTGATTGTCCAAAATTTGAAACCACCTCAATGTCCAATATTAGGAAACCAGCTACATTCATTAGGGTGAGCCTTTGCCCGTGAATACTAAGCAGGCACTCACAATCAGGCTCTAGAAGGATAGTCATCAGCACAGAAAGTGGGAAAGAACATCAGATCCTAACATCACCTGAGCACTTCGATTCAGGGGCTCCTCTTCTCTCTGTTCGCCCACCCCCTACCCCCTCCCCACTTCGAATTCTAGCCCCACCGTGTGCTCTGTAGCAAAGGAAAATTGGAAACAACATCGACAAATGCCTCACTTTAGAAAGCAGGCTCAACAACTCCTGGAACAGTGAGACAATTGCACATTCAAATTGGCTTGGTGGAAGACTGGGGAAAGAAAACAAGTGGAGACTATCCAGGATGCCGGGGGCGGGGGGGTGGGGGAGGCTGCTTGGAAGAAGGAAGAAGGTGACTGCGGTCAGTTCTGGGAATAAGACTGTGGGAGATTTTTACTTCCTGCTTTGCGCTTTTCTGAACGTCCGCAAAAGTTGCACAGGATCCTGCTATTCTTTGGGCAAGAGAAAATAAAGACATGGGAAAATTAAAAAGAGAGAAGGAAATGCCTATCCGGGGAGCAGAGAACCCTCTCGGGGAAATGACCCATGCTCTGTGGGAGCGAGGCCGAGGCCCATGGCAGAAGCTACAGGGAGACACATTTTGGCTCCATCCAAGGAAAACTTTCTAACAGCCCAGCCGCCACCTAACCCAAGGGCCTGGCATGGCACCAGCCCTCGATAAACAGAGGTTTATTATATGTGTTGAAATGAGGGCAGTGGCATGCGTGGCCTCGGACCGAGGTAAGCTCTCTGGCCCTGCTTTGTGCGAGGCAGGCTGGATCCTGGGTCCCAGGGAGGGGAAAAGGAGGGCTGCTGGGGAGCCCTGAGTTCCTATCAGTCTCTGAGGGCTCTTGCTCAGTTGACCTCCAGAGGATGAGAAATTGCTGGTACGGCTTGGCCTCGCCAGCTCCAAGGAGGAGTGAGGCTGAGGGGGAGGAGCCTGGTGGAAGAAAGGCCTGGAAGGACCGGGGCCTGCGAAGGAGAAAGAAGCCAACCTATTGGCACTCCCCGGGATCTTTTTGACCTCTAGGTGGCTGTGGGTTCCGCAAGCAGGCAGGAGGGAAGAGGGAAGAGGGAAAGGGAGGAGAGGGAGACATTACTCCTGAGCCCAAGCTGACTCAGCCATTGCCACCCATCTTGCCACCTCCGCCCTTGAACCTGTGTTCATTCCTCCTTCCGTGTATGGGAGACGAAGCCCCTGGCCCCTCTCGGTGGGCTCTCCCCAGCCTGAAGGATTTTTAAGGCCTGCAAGTGTCGCTGGACAAATGTGGGAGCCTGGCTGTTTTCCCTTGCAGTCGGCACAGAACAGGAATGAGCAGGACGGCCAGCAGGGTTTGGCAAGGAAAGGCGTGGAACAGCAAAATGCATAACTTCTTGTCAGGTGATTGCGAGCCCACCTCTGTTTCCCCTAACAGCCCTGGAGCACCTCTGGGTTTGGTCAGTGACTGCTTTGCCAGGCCCTTCTGAGAGAGCACCTCCGCCGGTCGACACCCCGCTGGGCACTGCCTGGCAAGGGGAGGGGCGAGAAAGAGGAAAGTGCCGAGGACCCTGCCTCCAGGCGCCTGCAGCCTAGGGAGGGAGGTAAAACCCGCACAAGGGCCAGGCGGACTCCAACAAGCTCTGGTGGGCCCTCGTACCCCTCAGCCACCCTCGAGTGGGCTCCCCTGTGAAGCCCCAACATTCCCCTGGGCCCCATTCCAAACTTCCTTCAGCTCCCTACCATGTTCCTGCCCCACCCCTCTCCTCCTACTTCCCTGAGAAAACAGAGGCCTTCAAGCATGAATTACCTCAGTGCCCTGCCCCATCCCCCCAAAAGTGGCGGGCCGCTCCAACTTCCTTCTCCTCCAGCCCTCCCTTCCCAGGGGACAAGGTGCCCCTCTTGTTAAAGGCTAATCCCTTTATCTGGGCCTTGGCCTCATCCACGTGGACCTCCTTCTCTGGGCCCTTCCTCCAGACATTATTCCCCCTTCTCTTCAGGAAAGTCCAGTTTCCTTATACTAGCTCTTTCCTTTCTGATTGTAAAATGGTGGTCTCTTTTATGCCAGAAAATAAGGCCCCTCCCTCTCCAGATGTGTTTTCTTGCTCCCCTAACAAGTTCTCCCTCTCTCTCTCTCTTTTTCTCTCTCCCCTCCCTCCTTCCCTCTCCCTCTTCTTCCCATCACCCTCAAATGTACCTCAACCTACTACAGTTTGGCCCCCGCCCCATCTTCCTAGTCAACAGGCACCACCAAAGGTCACCAATAACCCCCTAATTGCCAAATTCAGTGATCTCTTTGAACTCTGGGTGTCAAGAGACTGGGGGCCAAGCCCTCTTTTCTTAAACCCTCCTTCTGCTCTTGGCCTCCACGACGACTCTCTCGTTTTCCTCCTGCTTCTGGATCCACTTCTCTTGGTCTCTGTTGCTGACATCCCTTCCTCTGCCCATTGGCCAGACCTGTGGTTCTCAGTTACAGTCCCCGAATTGGGCTGATACACAGTGACCTTTTCAGTGGGTCACGGCAAAACGGGAGACACATCCAAAGGAAAGCTTTTCAATAATCTAAACTTATTCACTTATAAAAAGGACTGTCTTTTATTCTGAGATTATACCCTTCCTATTTGGGCGGGTGGGATAAGCAAAATAGTCTTTCTTTCGTGAAATGATCGCAATGGTGGATATTCGTTTTTTTTCTTTAATGAGGCAACTTGGCAAAATAAAACGTTGGTTTCTCTATGTCAGTCCCGTTAATGTTTGTTGAATGAATCAAAACCTGAGAATGATATTTCCTCCCCCGCAAAACTCCCCCGTACCTACCTCAGGAACCGGCGTCATACAGGCCGAGTCACTCAAGCGAAAGCCTCAACCATTTCTCCCATCTGTCTCCTCCGGGCTCCCCCACTCACCCCATTGTTTCTTCAACTGTGGCCTCATCCGTCCTCTCTCACCTGGACGCCTAGAACGACTTCCAAGGAGGTTTCCCCTTGTCTTGGACTTGGCCTTTCCACTCCATCCTCCCCAATAGCCACCCCAGTGATCTTTCTAGAACACACACCTGAGTACAGTCCTCCTGCACTGGAGAACGTCCAGTGGTTCCCAGTTGCCTAGAAGAAACGTCCAGACCCCTACGAAGGGGATGACACCTGAGGCCTTTCGCTGCCTAAGCCCAGCCTGCTTCTCCAGGCTTCTGCCTCCAGTGGCCTCCACGCACCCTCCACTGCAGCTCCCCTTGACTTGACCTCCTCTCTGTAAACAGGCCATGGCCTTTCACCCCTAATCCTTTCAGGGTTTAGGGCCTCTGGAGGTCTTAATCCCACCTTGTGTCGGGCTTATCGTGGACAACGCTGTGGGTCACAACCAATGGCAGGGCTTAAAATCGATGGAGGGGGTCGGGGCCAGCATCAAGCCAAATGAACGAACAGCGACTAGAAGCGTGGGTCACATCTGGTAAGGATGCAGGTCGTTCTGTGAAACGTTTGCTTTTGTCACATGGAGATGGAGGTGGAGATCGAAGCATGCAAAAATGCACGTACTACGTACGCCGTGCTGCAAAATACGTTTCTAGCTGTGGGTCACGGTCACCGGATTTGCACTCCGGGGCCTACACGTTGTTCTGTGATTCACTTGGCACTGCCCGTGTCACAGTCCTTGCTCTCCAAATGGGTGTAGTCTCCCTGGGGGGCGTAACAGAGGTCAGGTGAAGGGGCAATGCCGGGGAGACCTCTTGGAGGAGGGGGTGGT